TGTTGGTGTAAACAGACAAAAGCAAGTGTAATTCATGACAATTCAGATATCACTTTTCAAAACTTGAGGGATAATAATGAAACACAATGACCGAGTATAAATCCTTATGTTTGACTATAAGTCCCACTTATTTTGTCCTAGTGGAATTATTTATCTACCAAGATGTTCGCAGATAACGTGGTTTTAAGCCTACAACTCAGTAGTTTATGTCATATGGCCTATCCACTAAGCCACTATTGACGATCTTAAACTAGGATCCATTAAGAACTTGAAATATTTGACCTGAGTTATTGGTTTTAATAGGATTGATAGAAATCTGTTTATTTGTTTATTTATTTAAACACATATATATTGGTACAAAATGGCACCAGGTACATATGCGCCTCACAAAATAATGAAAGTAGGAAGAGAAGGGATGAAAAGATAAGGCGGACTGAAATGTACAACCAGAAGACTCTTTCGGTTAAGAAAGTTAGAACCATTCTTTATGTAGAAAGTAAAAGAAGGTTGCAGCAGGATCGCCACTGGCTTCTATTCTGAGCCATATCTGATAACGTCTCTAGCCACTGTGTTGCACCATCTCTCGGACCCCAACCAGGGAGTCGTGAAGGACCAACAGAAGCTAGCCCTTTGCAACTTTCTTTCATGCCACGACACCATGTCATACACTGACCTCCTCTCCGCTTTTTCCAACCAGTCCCAGGGTCGGCAAATAATGCACGACGTGGAAGTCTCTGGGACGACATTCGTAAAACATGTCCAAGCCACCGAAGTCGGTGTTTCAAGATGGTGACACCAATTGAATTATCGTCCCTGCGCCCGAACACACGATGCCGAACCTCTGCATTACTAACATGGTGTTGCCACTGTATGTCAGCAATCCTTCGGAGACAACGATGATCGAACACAGAGAGACGTCTAACATCCTCAACTCGGAGAGGCCAGGTTTCACAAGCATAGAGCAAAACTGCTCTCACCGACGCGTTGTAGATCCGACCTTTTACAGCCAGACTAACATCACGAAGGCGCCAAAGATGGCCCAGATTGGCATAAGCCGCTTTGGCTTTCACTATACGTGCATCAATCTCATCACTCACGCCACCACCAGCACTTATATAGCTACCTAGATACACGAATTTCTCAACTACTTCAATCTGCCCACCATCCAGGGTGAGTACAGGATAAGAATCCTGCCAGTCTTGTAGGAGTACTTTGCACTTGGAGGGTGCAAAGCACATGCCGTACCTGCGGACACTGATTGCCAACTGATTAAGTGCGGATTGCATGGCTTGAGCATTATCGCACAGTAAGACAATATCATCCGCATACTCAAGGTCGAGAAGTCGTTCTCCAGGCAACATATCCACACCGCCATTACTTACATCCATCAGAGCTGTTTCCAGGATGTCGTCGATAGCAAAGTTGAAGAGAAATGGTGAGATCGGGCAACTCTGCCTAACCCCACTGCTCGAATGGAACAAGGGAGAAAGGTGGTTGTATGCCCTCACTCTGCCTGAGGTGTTCGTATACAGGGCCTTTAAGATGTTAATGAACTTCTCAGGCACACCCTTCTTCAATAGACAATCCCAGAGAACAGTCCTGTCCAACGAATCGAAGGCCGCCCTGATATCAAGAAACACTACGATTGTTGGCCTGCGATAAGTATGACGGTGTTCTAACATTTGGCGGAGGGTAAAGATGTGATCAATGCATCCTCGACCAGAACGAAAACCAGCCTGCTCCTCGCGAGTCAATCGTTCTCGGGTTTTAAACAAACTACGAAGAATGATAGAAGCCAATAGTTTGGACGCAGTCGAAAGTAGACTTATCCCCCGATAGTTATTGCAGGAACAACGTGAACCCTTTTTAAAGATAGGGATGACTATCGACTCATTCCATGATGTTGGAACACTTTCTTGCTCCCAAACCTTTCCAAACAACACAGTCAATTCCTTAGTCAGAAGGTCACCACCATCTTTAAAAAGAGCCGGAGGTAAGTCATCTGGGCCCGATGATTTGTAACGTTTCAAGAGTTGGAGTTCCTTGCGGACTTCCGCCTCGCTTGGTGGATCAGTCGTCACCGGCCATGGGGGGCAGGACAAGCTGGTTGATGTTGCCGGAGCAGCAGGCCAGTTGAACTGCCCTTCGAAAAATTCCGCCCATCGTCCAAGACGTCGACAGATGTTAGTGATTGGCATCCCGTCATCCTCGTAGATTGTTTCACTCACACCAGACTTCTTGCTGCCAGTGGCTCGGATGAGTTGGAAGAGCTTCCGGCAGTTACCAGATGCAGCTGCTGCTTCCATCTCATTATCACGCTCCGACCACCAGGCTTCCCGGTCCTTACGCAAGCTTTGCCCGATTTCATTACGTAACAGCCTTCGTTTGTGGTCAAACTCACGGTCACCCGGAGTAGACCGACGGGCTTCGATCAGTTGTAAGGAGCCAGAAGAAACCCAGTGCTTGTAAGCGGGACGTTTCGCGAAGCCGCAAGCGGCTTTACTCACCATTTTCATGGCGTCGTGAAGATGAAACCAATGCTCATCTATACTTTTCGGTGGGGTGGTAGCTAGCCTAGAGGCTAGCTCCGCTCGATACTTACTTGCAACAGAAGTTGCAGCCAGTTTACTAACATCAATCCGTTGGTGGTGGTCAATCCTTCGGCCACTGAAAAGTAAGGTGAGATTGGCGCAGACCAGGACATGATCAGACTCCAGATAGGTACTCCAAAAGGAGCGGCAGTCTTGTACACAACCACGCCAGCGGTAGCTGATCGCGATGTGATCAATCTGAGTTCAGGCTTGGGATGCAGAGGGAGGACGCCAGGTGGCACACCGGCGATGACTGTGCCGGAAGTTAGTGCTGACCAGAAACAGGTTGTGGTCTGTGCACAGTTGCAGCAAACGGTCCCCGTTATCTGTCCGGCGACCAACAAGTCTCCATCGGCCACCTAAACGACTCTCTTGTGTGCCTAGACGCCCGACCTGTGCATTCAAGTCTCCGGCTAGTACTACAATATCTGTCGAACGCGCTTTCTGGAGAAGAACTGTTAACTGATGGTAAAACCCATCCTTGATTGCATCCGGGCTGCAATCTGTCGGGGCATAGGCGGAGATGACAAAAAGACACCGTTTCTCACGCCGATTTCTTCTCACTTTGATGGAACTTTCTAATCTAACAGCGCATAAAGGACTGTTAATGGGGATCCAATCGATTAGTGCTGCCTCAGCCCTAGCGCTTAGTGCGACACCAACGCCAGCAAGACCAGACGAAGATGCCACAGGGTCCCCGGATAAACGCACGTGGAACAAGCTTTTCGAGGCGACAGATGGAGAGCGGATTTGTAGTACTTCACCAGAGTCTTGAATACGGGTCTCGGATAGACAACAAACGTCAACATTAAGACCTTCCAAAGACATAGCCAGCCCTATCTGTTGTCTGATATGCATTAGTGTGCGAACGTTGAAGGAAGCCAGCTTGAACGGCGTACGTGGTTTCAGAAAGACTGCTTCAGTGTTCATAATCGGTGGAAGCATTCACTTTCAACCAGACAGTGACTGGAGATCGTTTAGATAGGACAGAGTTTCCACCATGGGCGAGCTGCTGCATAAGATGAAAAGTAAGGTTACACAAATTGGGGATAAAAGGGGGTGAGTTAGCGATATGGTAAATAATAATAATAATAATAATAATAATAATAGTGAAGGTAATAATAATAATGTAAATTGTCTTGCTTCTAGTATGAGCAGGAATAGTATCGTCAATAGAATTCATCATTTCATTTATTTGTGTGTGGGCTGTGATACTGCCCGGGTGCCCAAACCGAAGCAGGTGGTTTTCTTAGGGGGCCACACCCCGAGCCTTTGACCAAAAGGTCTGATCCACAAGGCAGTGGAGCATCGTGAGGAGATGCAGTCCCATGGTAGCCGTTGACCAATGACAGGTTCGTCCGCCATTCGTTCCATCAGGATACTGGAGCCCATGTGCACCATTGGTTTGGAATCAGGGTTTTCCAACTCTTCGTCGTTGATTTTACGTGTCCACCAACCCGGTTAAAGCGCCGGACATTCGCTTTTCGTCCTCTCACTTTCGTAAACAACACCCCCGCCACGAGAATGCAGTGATTAGGACTTCCCTGGCAGAGGCTATATATTCGCTGGCCATGTGAGAGCATTTCGAGAGGGAGAGTAGACTCTCCCCACTCTCGGCCGTACCAGGGCATTTGGGGGCGATAGAAATCTGTACAATCTGTACAGATTTGATAGAAATCTGTACAAATGTAAGATACGTTTAATTTGGATCCTCGCTGTTTTCAAAACTAGGCTTTTCCGTCAAAATTTGTTAAGATGTGACAGTGTGAATAATCGGTAACGAAAATATTTAAGTGTGAAAATTCATAAGTTTATTGGACACAATCTTACACATTAAGGCATGTGGCTAATCAGCAAGGATAATATATCCGTTTTTATACCGGCTTTTTGAGATTTCGAGCATTATAAATTATTTACACAGAATCTTCTATCTAACTCCGGCACTACTCAGTGGATTTGTTTCTGCGTGATAATTGGATACATGTAGATTTATCACGTTGTTTATCTTGTTAAGGATAATTGCTGACTTTATCCTCGTATATGTCTTTGGTCAGGCAATTGATTTGATGAATTGACAAATTGACTAGTAATAACTTCTAAAATATCTATTAAGAAGGTTCTTCAGATTGAGATCTGTCATTGACCACCACATTAAGCAATCTGTCACTACAGTAACGTAAACCAACTGATCTACCAGCTTTATGACTTCGGTATTAATATCACAATGTCATTCTTACTCCGAATAGTTTCTGGTGTTATAATACAGACCACCAAGTTTCGTTCCATAGTGGAGAATAATAGATCTACAACTTCATGGTGCAATCTAATTTATTGTCATAACTTATTAACGATGTTCACAGCGAGATTTCATTGCTGGTTTAAACGTTTCTTTTTGTTTTTTACTTGTAGTCTTTAGTTGTTCTTACCTTTCTTTTGAAAAATGGTTCTGATTATGTGTTACAAAGTGCTCAAGATCATATATACGACATCCGTACACTCGAGTCTTTCCGATATTTTGATGAGAATGGAAAGGATCAAGGAATGAATGGTAAGCGATTGTTCAGTGCTCCAAAACGTGTTTATATATTATCAGATTTTTATATGGTAATTTGCAGAAGAAAATCTAAATACGAATAAAGCGTAATTAAATTGTTAAAACTAGTGAACGATACGACTTATTGTGTATTTAGTATTTTTAACTCACGAATGTTACTGTTAATTCATATGTGTTTGAGCTACCTTTAATGACTTATTTTATACTTTTGTTTAAACACATAAACATTGGTACACGAAGACATCAAATAGATATGCGCCACATAAATCATTCGATTCGTTTGAGCCTGGAATACTGTCCGTGTGCCCGAACCGAAGCCGGAGGTTTTCTTAGGGGACTACATCCTGAGCCTTTGACCTAAAAGTTTAATCCATAAGGCAATGGAGTAACGTTGTGATATGTAGTCTCATGGTAGCCGGTGACTAAAAATAGGTTCATACGCCGTTTGTTTCCTTAGGATCATGGAGCTCGTGTGCATCATGGGTTTGGAGTCAGGATTTTCCAACTCCTAGGTGGGTCCTCCGTATCCACCAACCCGGTTAAAGTGCCGAACATTCACTTTTCGTCCTCTTAATTTCGCAAACAACAGTAATGCCACGAGAAGGCAGTGAATAGGAGTTGCGTGTTAGTGGTTGTATGCACGTCGCCATGTGAGACCGTTTCGAGAGGTAGAGCTATCTCTCCTCACTCTCGGCCGTACCAGGACTCTTTATGTAATGGAAAATTCTCTGACAGTAGAATAACTTATAAACAATGAGAAAACATAAGTTTCTCAAATTGCAGTCATCTCCAGTTTTCTTGGTACTATAAAAATTATTGGAGTGCAGTTGATTAAGAACTTTCTTACGTTACTAAAAAGACAAAAATCTACATTGTTTTAAACCCTTTGAAAGTTCAACCATAATGTTTCTAATTCATTCATGATATTCTGAGTTAATAAGTCACTATTTTTCCTTAAATGTTACTGTTATAATTGTATTTTGCTAATAAACGACCCAGCTATTCCTATTGCTTAGTATTCTTATACAATGACACTCAACAAGACCCCAAAATCAGAACACGTTGAACAGGAATGAAATTGTATTCAAAATAATAATGATAAGTGAACAGCAATCAGCAATCAGCAATCAATAGTTTAAATATCGTTCATATATTTATAGTATATACATAAGAAGCTTCTAGATTTTTCTCCAATAATTTGCTCGGGCTGATCGGTTTAGAATTAGCCAATCAGCGCGCAACAACACCATCATGCATGAAACATGCTTTAATCCAATCTATGTCCCGCTAACAGTTACCTAAGATAATTAGTTGTAAAAACTTCACTGATATTCTATGTTGTAATAGATGGCCCAGTTCTTTGACTGCTCTCAAATCAAATTGTTGTCAAGCCTCGATATTATAAGTTCAAGTCTGAATTGACTTTCAATTCTCTGTGAATTATGGATAAATTAAACTAGGTGAAAAGTGAAGAAAGTGCAAGTTTTCCACTCAAGTATTTCTGTCTGTTCATACGTATTTCAAAACACGTTATCCGATAACTCCATTTGTCTTGATAAACGAATTTTGCCGAGTTGTATCCACATTATCGATTACCCTTTAAAAAATGTCTTCGTTTACTGATAATGAACAGGTTACAATTGAAATGGATGTAATGTTAGTGCTTTTTAAGTCAGTGCCAAATCGATATTGAGGTTCAAGTACTATTACTGTTTACGTCCTAGCATTTCGAAGGTAGTAAAAAGTATTTATCAGATAATGCAAAGAGTTAGGACGGATTGTCGGTGTTAGAATTCCTCATAACGTTAGGATAGATTTTTGAGTGTACCTGTATTAAGCTTGTAGGGTAGTAATTTTATTTCCGTGAGTGTAGCTGAGGGTTCTTAGCGTCAAGGGGGAGTAGGTATTCTATAATATTGAGGAAAAATACCTTAGTTACAACTAAAATAAATTTATTTTGTAAATCAGTGTTTTTCACAGATTGATTCATCAATCGTTTGATGGTTTTTATGATGAGTTCACAAAGTACGTGTTTTCTTTGTTCACCTATGCATACTTGTTTATACATAACGACACCACTTGTATAATTACCAAGTCGTTACATGTAAATATCAGCGTTCTCTCCACTAAGTGACAAAAGATGGACATAATGTGATGAAAACCTTAACATATGTTGAAAACGTTTCGTAGAATGAAAATAAGAAAGAGTTAATTTTGTTCGAAAAACAGATATGCTGACTGCTGTTGCTGTGTAATTATATTGTACTTTGTTCAGTATATAAATGTTCTTTGTCCATATACATTAGTTCTAACTTAAAACATTCATATTATAGTTCGCATCAGAGTTCAAGAAGTAATCGACCTTATACAAGACTCAGAAAAATTACAGCAAGAACGTCAAAAGGCCAAGGCTAGTCGACATATTTACACAGGTTATGGAAATACCAATGATTTAGATTGGGGTTATTCTTCATATAAGAATAATGGAGACTACGGTCAAAGATCGTAAGTTATCGTTATACTAAATATTCGTTCAAATATTCCAGCTAGGTCTTTGAGATTCCACTGAAGACTATGATTAGATATTGACTTATGTGTTTCGGCACTAACTGTTTGTTTTCTGAATAAATCCATACTGATTTAAGGTGAGATCTATGGAGGATTAAATATTGTACTCTATAAATCCTTATCAGACGTTAGATACTATAATATGTAATTTCAGCAATGTGTTTTATGACTCTAGTAATTAAGGTTAAGACGTTGTGTCAAGTAACTTGCTGCTATCTCTTCTCAGTTGAATCAATCAATGCTTCCAACACGTGTTACCTTCGAAATCCTGACCTTCGTTAGTCTAAACAAGAATGAATATCCAGTTACATGCACCGTACATATATATATATATATATATATATATATATATATATATATGATGCATTATGCATTATATCGTAATCAAATTACATCAACCATTCGTAATCTATGTGCTTACTAATAGTAAATTATTCACTAATTTTGTTCATTCCTCAAAAATTTCCGTCCTCATTTATATACTACTAAGAATAAATTTGTCGCTGTTCATCCTCGTATTTACGTTATTAGTTTACCTATCTAGCTGGCTTCCATGTTATAATATAGATATAATTTATGGGAAAAGTTAAGTCGGAAATATAAAAGCCGTAAAACTCTCAAGAAATTAGACGTGATTTATTCCATACAGATTTTGTCACTTCTCTATTTCTGTCAATAAATCAGTGACGACTAAGGAGCACGAGATGGACATTTTCAAAATACATTAAATATCTACAAAAGTGTTTACTTTTGGCTACTATTGGGCGTGTGCGCAAACCTTTTGCATTTACTGGTTTGTTTGGGTTGTGAGAGGGTTTTACGATTACTTACTATCGGAGAATAACTGCATATGGCAGCAAATTTTGAATACTTCCAAAATTTTGTAGTAAAAATATCTTTTAGCTTACTATTCTGTTACATAATTATGCTAATTAGAACATTAAGCGTGTCATTTATTACTGCGTGTCACTAATTGCTTCTTATTATTTTCTTTCCCCCTTCTTTTTCGGAATGCTCACCATATAACTCGGTCCTTGGACCATTGTTTTTTCCACTTTGTGTGCTTATATGTTTCCTCCTTTTGTTCTACTTTCCGCTCCCTGTACTTCATTGTAAATTTGTGCTTGGCCATTTTGATGTCCAACATATTTCATTCATTATGTGTACTTACATATATATGTATATGCGTGTGCTTTACATGAATTCTTATATTATTTGAAGTGATTCACTTGATGACTATAATAAAGAAACTTACGTACCCAAAAACTTCACATTTCAATCGAGCGCCAAATCTAGAGTGACAATATCCGAACATAAATCAGACCAACCCCCGCCTAGGTTGGGTAGTTTTGATGATTGGCATGTGGGTAAAGAACGTGGTGTAATGGACGATGTTTTAGAACAGTTCAAAGAAGCATGGGATTTGGCCAAAGAATCTACTAAGGATTTAATTTTCTCCAAAAATCCTCAGGATAACAGATCAAAGTAGGTGGTTTATATTCTCCGATGAAACAAAATGACCACTTTTTGCGTGAAAAACACTAGTTTTGACTTTTATGCTTCTGTTTTGGTTGTAAATTATTGTATAATAAGTTTTATATAATCTATCGTTTCATAATCATCAAGATAGTTATCTTTCAAACATGTACTATGGAGAAAAATGGGAGGTTGCTACCAGTCACATAGATTCACAGCTTCATGTAGTTTAATCACAGTGCGAACAATCGATAGCCTACAAGGCGTTTGGTTAATTATTGACTAATTTCAACAAACTTAAATAATTGACTAACAATCTGTCATATTAATCGTTATATTAACAACAATATATGTACCTCAATTCATCACAGAGTAACATCTGTTTTCTGATAATTGAAATTACGATTGTTAGACTTCATAATCTAATGTTTGTCTAAGTGTATCCATCATTTCCATTCGTCTCCTCGCTCTCTGTTTACCTTCGCCATAAACACATTGTTTTGGTCACTGTGGTTCTATTATGAACCAGTAAAGAATCTAATAACGGTAGGATACTTAAACTACGTTTGTCTGATATAACTTTCTTTGAAAGTTCATTAAAATAATTTAATCAAGCTTGGTTTTTATGTGTGCATCCTCTTCAAACTTGTATATATTTGTCACATTCTAATGGTGTTGTTTTGATAAAATTATTTTTTGCTTACGATAAAAAAGGTGGTGATATTAAACCTAATCTTTTATTATCAACAATTGCATACGTGTTAGTTATCGTTTTTAAGCGGCTTGTTTGTGTAGCTGAATGTATTTCATCTATTGGGCAGGTTTTTCCTACATGATCTCATATCGACAACTGATAATGAAAACAAAAGTTTGAAAAAAATATCGACTCATAACTCAAATACAAATCGATCCTTTGTTCATTGATTGACTGATATAGTTTGAATACTTACACCTAATTATTTAGTTGTTATTGTCTGAACTCTGTAATCCATAAATTGAGATTTTTAAATGCAAATCATCGTAGTTGTGAGTAATTTATATGAGTGAAGGGTTTAATTGGCACAAGCTAAATAAGCTGGTTATTAGTGACAAGATTGAGTAAAGTTTTTACACTGTATATTAATTAATTTATATTTTTTTCCCGATGAAAACTTGAAAGATGTTAGAGTTGTCTGCGATTACATGATTAGTGTCATATTAATTTCATTTGTTGTATTAGTTTAATATAATCGTAATTTTGGTGATTTCTCTTTGTTTTAGCTCTCCTACAAGTACATACTTCGTGAAAATAATGGTTTCTCAAAATATACAGTTTTTTCTAGTACTGTATAGAAATCTCTTTCTTAAGCTGATTAGAGCTTAACCATATTGGTTATAGACAATAATTAAGAACTTCATGATATAGGTTTAATACTTCTTAAAGTTCATTAGAACGTATCACTGTAACGGTTCGAGTAAACTTAACTTTAAAAATTCATCACTTTTTGACTGTACTTTGGTATTGGTGACAATTTTACTATGCTGTTATATAATTTACCACTGACTATTTAACGTGTTACGTTGTGTACACGAATCAAGTGATACTTGTTGGTCAGTGTCAAAGATTAAGAACATGATATAACTTGGCATTTCATGACCGATTCTCTTTATTATCATATTCTGTATTTGTCAGAGATTAATTACGCTTTGATTAACTTTTTGTGTGAGTATATTATTAATTGAATATATCCATTACTTAATGTGTACACAGATATGAGTTGATTTGAGAACATTCAAATAAAAAATGTGTGACTCTGCTCAAGAAGCTTGTTGGCTTCTTAAAAGTTACGTTTTATCATCGATTAGTTAAGTCAGTAAGTAGCGTGTAAGAAAAAAAAGATAGCATTTATCCCCGTAAATTTGTAGCGCATCCGTTTTTCAATGTTCAGTATGTATGCGGTATCAAATATCTTCGAACATTTTTACGTTCATATAGTCGGTATATGCTGCTTATAAGAGCGTAATTCCCATTGAGAATTTCGTTTCAAACTTTGACTTACTTTTTTTTCATCCGGTAAATTAGGATGCGCTATAGTGGTTTATTTGAGAAAACATGTATGGATAGCTTTATATGATTGAAGTGAAATCTCCATTGGAAATCATGCTCTTATATTCAGTCCTCACCCACTAATTGAATGAGAAAGTGCTCAAAAATGCTGGACACTACACTTTTGTTGGACACTGAAAGGAGGATGGTTAACCTCACATGATAAAAACAAGCAAACTGTCGAGCATGATTATTAGTGGGACATTTCTGTTCACCATTAAGCTAAAGATATTTTTTAAACAAACTATGACAAACAGTAATAAAGTGCAAACGCGTTCTTTGCCGGCCAACAGCATTGTCCCATCTATTTATTTTACTTAATAAAGGCTTGCCATATAGAATCGTAATATTTCTTTTGTTTGTCACTACTCAGTGTCGTTTCCTTTAATTGGCATAGAATTTAACAGCTTTTTTCGTTTTTCTTATAGGGTTTATAAGGTTCTTATTTCCGGTGTGTGTATATGTGAATATGCGTAAACCTCCAATTTTTTTTATAAATACTTGATTATTTATGTTGTAATTCGTTAGTCGTAACATCCTTAATCGTTTGCATGTTATTTAATTAGTTATTTTCATGAATAACCATTCAACTGCTTTATAATGAAACTATTTTCTCTTTATTTACTTTCAATCCCATTTTAGTTGTTTTAAAAAAAATTTTTATAACTAAAAAAATAATTGTCGTTTACAATAAATAACGGTTTTATGCACTTCATTTATGTATTTTTTCAATAACCTTCAAAGTGAGTTCAATCCACGAATGGTTTCTGAAGAGGTGTACGAGTTCCCATCAAATGCTGTTGAATCCGGTGGAACATATGAAGCGAAAACCCAGTCATCCTATGGGGATTATTCTGCACAGAATGAATTTTCATCGAAAAATCTTTTTAGATCCACCAAATGTAATAGTGTTGATAGTCATGTTAATAATAATAATAATAATAATAACAACGGCGACACACATGCGTCACAGTCTAATGGAAAACCTCCAGGTCAAGTTATTGTGACGCCTAGAAATCAAGTATGTTATCTTACCTAAGCTTTTAATATGTGTATGTATGACAGCTTTTGTGTTCATTGTTGACTCTTAAAATAATACCGTAGTGAAGAAAAAGAATCCAAATGAGGTTCGGTAAAAAAATACCAACTACCATTTTCCACCTGCTGAATCTATGCTGTCGGTTATTACTTTTCTCAATAGACAGTTTGGAACCCGCTCAATCATTTTAGCTACTTGTTTTTCAGCTGTTGCAAGACAACAATAAATTTACCTGCTTTAGATTTGTTTGGACTGATTTTAATTGTGTATAGTAACTGTATGCACCAACACATTTTTATGTAAAGCTTATTACTTATGACTATGCTAAATACTGGAATGCTCAAATGAAGATACCACAATTCCTGACAAATTTTCTTCCCAGTCTTTACTTTGAAATTCATGCATCATATTTATGATGAATGGGCAAAGTGGTTGTAACAGCTAAATTAGTGGAAAGTTTTCACAATTGAAGATAAGATAAATTTTGACTATTGAAACACTTTTTATTAGATATATCTCTGAATAATTACAATTCGAGTGGATGTTAGAAAGAATTTTGATGCAATGTTGAATCATCACTGTCATTCCAACATAGGTTTTCTTCCAGTTGTCGATCTCAGTCCTCATCTCCATGTGGTATCAGAGCGTATAGTAACTATGATTGCACTGAAATTTAATAAAATATTATTGCTTTAAGCGAAGTTCACTTATATATATATACTGAAATTCTGTTTTTGTGTCAGTATTTTATTAGCTACGGCTTATCGGTAACGTGACTGTCTAAATCCCTTTGCTCGATGATACAGAACTTCTGTTAACCAAATAACTCTGATCTGATGTCTATAATTTTTCCACTTCTTTGTATTCAGACTGTTATTGTTCTGTCATATTGGTGTTTTCTCATGTTGCTACTAGTCAAAGCTAGTGATAATAAAAATAATCCTGTATTGATTATTCCTTCCGTCCAGTGGTCGATATTTGTCAACTATGTTAGTTCTTTCACATTGTTCAGTGTTTTATATAAAATTCTGTTTATTTTTCTTTTCTGTGTATGCGTGTGCGTGTATGATTACGTACAAAGTTTCTTTGTGAATGAGGCATGCTTATAATTTTCAGTTGTAAGTTTATCTACTTTTTCATATACTGTAGTTACACTTCAGATTTATCTATACGTGATTGTTATCTGTTAGTGTGTTTCTTCATGAAGTGTGTGCTTTTGGAAATCTATGAACTTGATAAAAGTTGCTAGTACCACTTACGAATAAACTATTCGCTATTTATTTTTCTTAATCATCCCTCAATTTAGATGATTAAAAAAAAGTAGTTTTCATATGGTTGTGCACAAATATTTAATTTATAGAAATATTTATCCATATGAAGATGTTAACAATTGGAATATATCAAATATTTTGTCAATAAATCTTCACAGAACACTGTGTTTGTTTATTCATCACAAAGTTGACAGTATGTAGGTTAAGTAAATAATTTTAGCTGTATCTGTCAGTCAGTGAGTTTGTGTAAAGCTGGATTGATCAAAATATAATTGTTCACCATCATCTACATCATATGATATCTGGAGCGTACACAAATCTTCGTAAGATTGTAATAAACCATATTACCAATTATTGAATTTTCTGGTTGAGTTCGGTATTACTCGTTAATCCTACTATTTGCCATATATGGTGAATTCGTCGTAATAGTTACTACTATCTATAACACTTCTGTAACTGTTTTTTACGTTTTAGTGTTAGAATCCTTGACTCTTTTCATCGTCTTTCATACTTCAGCTATGATCATTCATTATTGATATAAGGTTGGCTTAGGGCACATAAGGTACTACCAGTATCTTTCACCTGATAACTTCACATATGAGTGGTGCTTCCAAGATATTGATTACCGAGTATCCTTAGTTTAAGACAACTATACAGTAAAAATCTTGATAATATAAGAAGTGCAAGGGAAAATCTGAACGAAAATTACAATTGAAATAATATCATATTGCCGATGTTTAAACGAAATCGACAATCAATACGTTTAAAAGATGTTTGAGTATTATGCTTCCTGTATTTTTCAACATATAGTTAGGATGATTAGATAATCGTAATAATAGTGTTTGACATGACTTTTTAATTGCTAACATTATCAATAAAATTATTCATAACTAAGCGTTCATTTTTTCTTAACAGCTACAAATATTTTAGATTAATTTCCTTTTTCTATTTTTTTGTGACCAGAGTATTGAAAAGAAAGACAACGTAAAGCCAAGACCACCATCCTGTGATTTATTAGATTCATTTAATAGTGGTAATAGTATCACTAAATCAGATCAAATGATAGATCTTTTTGATGCAATATGCGATTCATCAACATCAACTACAACTGGTGTACACTCTAAACGGCAACAGCCAACGCAAATGGAGTTTGAAGTTAATTGGCCTAAAGATGTATTAACACCATCAGGAGTATCTTTAAATACCAATTCAGTTCAAAATCATGCCACTACACTGTGTCAAAATCCTGATAAGTAAATTTAATCCTGTTGATTATATGTTAAATGTTAAGCGTCACTATAAATTTTTAATATCTCATTGCTTTGATTATTACATGCAACCGGATCCCTTGATAGATTTAAATAGAACAAAAACTACAAGGTTTGCTGAATAAAATGAATTCATTTTATTTCGTGGCTTCTCATTGGCTGCATACAACTTAAAATTACAATTAATAATATAAATATGCTTTTAATCCATTTTTGTTTTGGTTGTTTTAATCTTCCGATTGCTGTTTAGGACTGCAATTGATCAGTCGCTTATTAGCAAATGTGCATCCTGTGCGTGTAGTGAACAAGAACACGGGTGGGGACAATCAAATGTATTTAAAGCACAAATTACAGACTAGCTCACTGAAATCTGATAACCATGCATTTTACAGTTAATTTGTACAATAACAATCAATTGTCTCAATCTTAACTGTTCTTTCTGCAAATATCCGTCCATCTTCTCTGATTTCATTATTCATGCATTTTCATATCGAATGTGCTTCGTTCCTGTTCTTTCCTTATCGATCTTCTGCCAAAATACATTCTATGCCTGACCATCACCATATACTACTTATGTGGATATAATTAACCCACACCACATGCGGATCACCTTGATATTACCTTAAGTTACAAGCATTATCAGCAAGGACGAATGGTGGTTAGCAGTGGAGTCCGAGACGCGCGTTTCATCGTGGATTCCACTGCTAGCCGCCGCCCATCTCTGCTTATAATAAATACAATTATTAACAAATGTTTAGCATACTTTAGTTTGTGAAGTTTAGATAAATGTTCTAAAAGTAACCAAAATCGTAATAATCAGAAGAATAGGGTTACAAAGTGTATGAATAAACATAGTCAAGATCGATGAGTGTTAATATATTGGGAAGAGTTATGTAAGGTTAGCGAAATTAATAAGTGATTGGGTAATCACTTAACATGATAAAGTAAACAAGTATGTGAACATCAATCAGATTATGTAAGAAATGAATATCAGGAGACAAAAGAATAATAAAACGTTGGGGACAGAATTGAAATAAAGAATTAAGTTTGACAAAGGTTATTAGACAAATATCCAGTCACAGTGACAGGGAAAGGCTAATCAAACTTTCTGTATACATAAGTTAGGTCGGAAATGTTTGATAGCAATTGCCTCTGCAAAACATAGTAAGATTAGTGTTTTTTGTCTGTTGATTATTTTGAAAAGATCACTTACATTCACTTCGTGTTCAGTATCGAGGTGTCTGGAAATTGCACTTCCATTATTTTTCCGTCTTACACTGAGATCGAAAACATTGAACTGGTCATCTCTTTCATATTCCACTGTAAACGTTATGTTGGGATGAGAGTTGTTGAGGTGACTAAGAAACCTAGATGTATGGTCCATATCATCACAGATAATGAACGTATCATCAACATATCCGGTGTAGTATGTTGTGTTCTGGATTTCGTGTTTTATTTTCGTTTATTCTGGGTTAGCCATGAAGATGTCGGCCAAAATAGACCCTAATGATGGTCCCATGGTTACTCCATTGGTTTGTTTGTCTAGATGATTGTCGAATTGGAAATGCAAAGTAGTAATAATTTTCTTACCTTATTTTTAGGTAAAGGAAGTAATTTAGATTGTTCGTAAATAATATTTACAGTTTCTTCTAGTGATATACTCTGTTTAAATTTCTCTTCATTTCGTTTTTTTTTATTTAAAAAAATGTACCCCAGTTTGCTAGATAATGAGTTTGGTGATTTCACTTCAGCATCATCTGTACAGTTTCCTGTGAATACTGGTTCAACAATTTCATCACTTGATGGTATCTTTTTTTCCAACTTCTCAAATACTGAGGCTTGTCCATCCAATCAAAATGTAAGTGATCATTGTTAAATAATATTGGCTTGTGTATAAAAGGGATCGGAACGATTGCTTAATCTGCAAAAATATGTGCGATATCTTATAAATTATGTATTAACTTTCGCCTATTTTTTTCAAAGATGAGTTATTTATGACATTTCAATCACACACTGTTTTAAACCAAAGGAACTGTTACATAAGTACACTGTGACTATGTATTTCTTTAAATGGTCAGAACGTGGTATAAGTTGTTTATTCTGACCCAAATCTTATTAGTATCTGATTTGGAATTGTGATTCGTCCATAAATATGGGAACAGCACTGTCTCATCAGTGTTCATGTGTACTGTTTCCAGTCTTAATACCAGTAGTGTTAATATTTGTAGGATATGATAGTAATTGATAAATCTTTTCAAACAGCAAAAGTAGGTGTAAGCGAATTATTTAATTTTAGAAGTGTATTATAACAGATTTTATTCCGGTAAAGATTTTAAAAGCAAACAGTTCATTACCATTAATATTTGGCCCATGGTAGTCATCGTACTTTGTTACATGGTTTCTGACATGAAATATCATTAGACGGTTATCAAACCTATGTACTGAAGCTTGAAGTCCTCAGGTAGTTTCGCTATGTTTGTTTTGTTCAACATTTTTGTACTGTGATGCTCTTTCCTGATTCAAAGAGTCAGTTATATATCAGAAGTTTTTGAATTTATATAAGTAATCATCAATCCCCATTTTCTGTTTACTGGGTAAATACTACTTATCTTGGAAGTGCAGAGGCACTTCTTCAATTTTCTACGCCCCCCCTTAAATGGCGGCAGTAGTAGTATTGTGGTGGACGCTACTCACAAGGTTGCTTGCAAGTAGTGTGTTACGGGACGTGGCTTCGAAGCTGTCACAGTCCTCAAACAGAGGGAAGACTTTCAGTACATCAGGAGAACGGTGTAGGCAAACCATTTGAAGACTAGACGAGAATGCAGTCCGGAATGCACAACACACAGGAATATGCGAATGGATGATCAAAGACTATGTACATGTGTTATATAAAGGCTTTGTTGTTTCGCCTGATAATTATCAAGTTCTTCCTCTGCTCATTACGTCATTTTGCAGTAGTAGTGAGTAGTTTGGATGAACTGTTGACTATACAGCACTTATGACGTAGATTTTAGAGACTATGTCGTCTGTTAACATTCTTTCTGATAGGACTTATTCGAATTCATTACTTATTAACCTCCATAATGTTTTCAACACCAGACACATTTGTGTAAGCTGGTTTTCAGTTGAGATAGCTTTAACTGCTTCCAGCTTAATACTTAGGGAAGAGAATAGGATTTTGAGGAAAGGCAATATCAAGAAGCAGCTTTAATAGTTAATTAACTTCAAGGATACCTTTCGTAATTGTCCAACATTTTTCTATTTTGTTAGCAATTAGTAAAGAGAGTAATTTCGTCTTTTGATTGCTCAGAGTACCTTATTGGGTTCCGTGTGTTTATCGTATCCAGTGGTTAAAGACTCTGAGTGACAAAACTCAGGATGTTGTTTGTTACGGATTCATTTCCTTAGATACTAAGTTTCTTGAGCATTTTAAGAGGTTTTTCTAATTATATCCTCTATCCCTAATCTTCTCTACTACTAGGACCGACACTGTCACTGATTGTAATACTCTAACATCTCTCTACTCTGATGTGATATAATGCATATGTTTGTCATACTATTTATTTTTACCGGATCATTTAACTATTAACATTTAACTATTTGTCATAGGGGTATGTACACATTGATTTTTAACGATAACCATGTTTCTATTCATACTAATCAAGTCAGCACAAATCAGCTGATTGTAATCTTTTCTTCTATCCGAGTGTTTATAATTTATGTTTCACTGTGCCTTGTTTTTTCTCTGACTTATTGACTAGTCTCATCAAAACAAGCAAACTGAAGAATTCAAACAACAACACGTGGTTCAATCCAATCCAACTTCACCATCCAAATCTAAACCGATAAACATTGGCAATACATGGAAAGAGTTAGGATCACTAAGTATTGATTTAGATTCATTAGCAAAACCGGAAAAATACGGTGCGCGAACACAAGCACCAAGTCTACATCAATTGAAACAAAATCAGCAGCGTGTTCAATAATAAGTGGTTTAAGATGTATACCGTTTTTTGTTTCTGATTGTTTGAAAAGAAGAATAATAGATATAAACAACTGATAGAAAATCATTTAACCACGTTTTAGTAGCGAAGTTATCTTTTATCCTAATACTTACTTACTTACGACGATTAATGGTATTGATGAGGATAATGATGATGACATTTCATAAATGTATTTCAGCTCAACAAATTGCTCTTCCCTTTCTTCATTCTGTTGATTTTTATTCCACATAGTTACATTGTTCTTACTAATTGACTAATCTTAGAATGAAATGGAAACTAGTTCACTTACTTCCGTTATTTATTTATATGGTTTCATAATTTTTGTTTATTTTATGTAAAAAAAAATGTGTATCTGTGTATGTATGATTGATAATCTTGTATGTACTTGTATGCCATATTTTTCTTTTTTTCTGTATGTACAGAAATTTGTTTTTTCTTCTTTTTCTAAGAAAATAAATATTGGTCTTTCAAAATAGTATTTCATCTTCAGAACTTATTTACCCTTTAAACATTTTAGTACCGTTCAATGTAATTGATTATTTAAATATTATAGTACATTTTATTCCATTTTATTTTATTGTTATCATTATTATTTTGTAATTTTTTGTTCAAGCTTCTGTGATTATGTAACAGTGAATGCTAAACATTTCATTCTTTGTTCATTTCAATTCGAATGTTTCATATACATACATGTATTCATAAATATATATATATATATTTATAGGAAAACGGTTAAAAGAAAATAATTTAATCATAGGATCAATATGATTCGAGGACAAGAATGTGCCTTAATTTAATTTGTTTACTTGTTTTATCTTTGACTTATTTTTAACATATCCAACTTATGCTTCTATTCAATTATGATTTAATTGATACTTGTTGTTTTGTTATAAAAAACGACATTGTCTATGTTATGCTGTGATTAATTTGTATAATTCATTTGCATACAGTTACACACACACACACACAATAGTGGGTTATCGAAATGTTTCTTGTTTTTGCTATATTAGTTTGTTTTAACTGATCCTTTGTAAAAGATATAATAAATATTATTTAGTAATTCTTATGTTTAAACCCATTTAGAAATTTGAATAGGCATAGTAAATTCATTGAGGTCTTCTGCCTGTAAATTGTAGAAAGGTCTCCATAAATCTCGGCAACTAAACAGATTCGTAAGTAATTGCATGAGATTTCTCATTTCTACCATGTATGTTGGTCATCACGGATGGTGTCGATCTCTACGTGTTACTTGTTTTTTGATTTCGCTGCCATTTCAATCCTCAATAATTGTGTTATATACATAACATCTCATGTTGACTCTGTTTTTATTAAATAAAAAACAATTATTATGGGATCATATGAAAATACTACTTAAAATTTAATCGGTATACTTTTATTTCCCCACTAAGTAAATAGAAATGGTCGGATGTGATGTTCCTTGTTTGTATAATTATACAGTCGAATAAACTCAGCTAATTTAGCCTATGTAGGTGAAATTGTTGTAATGAGTTTGGATATGCATGGAAATGACGTTTAAGGTACTACATAAAAGATAAAAGCTTAACTGCGAATTTCCTTGTCGGAATCCATTATTATGAAATGCTGACAAATTCATGGGAAAAGATTCTCCTTATGGAGTGTTAATTACTAATTGTAACCTTCTATGGATGGATTTCTTGTGGAATTGAGATATTTAATTTGACTGATCACAGATTAGTGGCCAGTTTCATGTTTCTCTAGTCCTTAGAGCTGATTGAATCCTATCCCTCAAGATTACAAATATACTGTGCTGACGAGAGTTAACCAGGACAAAACAACGAGGGGTAGTAGGCGTAAGTGAATGGTAAACATTTATGCGGTTGAACTGATTTATGGCGTTGGCATTTCACGAGCTCGATTTGTATCTTTTTGTAACTTAGTTTCATACAAGAGTGTATTTATACCCAGACTGGTACGGGTATATGTGACATGTCTATTTAATCAATTTAAGGTAAATTAATAACTGCGACCTTACAATATATGTATATGCAATGGAAATTACACTGGTATGATTTGACAAATCTGTATTACGTAACTTTCTGTACAGCTTTACAAGAATCTGCCCCTGAAAGGAAGTGATGACAATTTTAATAACCTATATTTCTAATATGGCCGTTTGACTTAGATTTTTCAACACATGATTGTTTTTTAAAAGAGCCCCCAAATGCCCTACTACGGCCGAGAGTGGGGAGAGTCCGCTCTCCCTATCGAAATGCTCTCACGTGGCCACGCGTATATAGCCTCTGTCAGCGAAGTCCTACTCACTGCCTTCTCGTGGCGGGGGTGTTGTTTACGAAATTGAGAGGACCAAAAGCGAATGTCCGGTGCTTCAACCGGGGTGGTGGACACGGAGGGTCCACCTAGGGGAGTTGGAAAACCCTGATTCCAAACCAATGGTGCACATGGGCTCCGGAATGCTGAGGGAACAAATGGCGTATGAATCGATCGTTGGTTACCGGCTACCATGGGACTGCATCTCCTCACGATGCTCCATTGCCTTGTGGATCAGACCTTTAGGTCAAAGGCTCGGGGTGTGGCCCCCTAAGAAAACCACCTGCTTCGGTTTGGGCACCTGGGCAGTATCATAGCCCTCACACAATTCAAATAAGATTTGTTTGGCGCATATGTACTCGGTGCCCCTTTGTGCCAAAATTTATGTGTTTAAATAATAATAATATGATATTTTTAAAAGAAATCTAAATACATCTTGTTATAAATAGGAACTGATCTCTGACACCTTAATTTTACTCTCAAACATTTTATCTTATTCACTTTAAAGTGTTTTTGAATTACGTTGCCCTCAAACTCTTGTTAGTCTTGTTACTTTTTTTACTTTACATTGAATGATAACTATCAGGGGAATCTGTTTTGGCAGCAAATTACTTTCAGCAAATCCGCTATTGTACGGAACATGGAAATATATTTTGTCATCAAAATGAAGTTTCAGAAGGAGAGGTTATTTAACTGTGGCAGTATTATATATATATACTCTTGTACTTTTGTAGATCTGCATTCACTTTTCTAAAGTTAGCTGATATAAAATTTGTTTATAATATTTGTTTATATATTTCTATAAAACGTTTGAGTCACCATAGTTACGTTTCAAATAAAAACAAACAAACAGTCCACTACAATATTCTAACTATTTTAGTTTAAAAAAAACCATCAGTTAGGAAAAACTAGGTCATTAATCGTTTTTCGCACAGTAAACAAAGCAAGACATGATTCTAAAAAAAACAAGAGCTATAAATAAATGCAACTCGAAAATTCTGGAGTCTCTTCATGGTACTTTAAACTTTTTAATTACTTAAAAATTTATTTTTTTTTCGGATTATTTGTTTTACATTTCAATGGATTTGATGAAAATCGAAAAATGGCTCGTAATATAGTTTACTTAGATCTAATTTATTCAGTTAGTTGAGTGTAAGTGGTTTGGACGCTTGTCTGAACAGTTTATTGAACGGTAGTCATAAGCGCATTCTATTGCTTAAGTTTCCACACAATAAATAAAATAAAGCTTGCAAGTAGACTGATTAGAAAACAAAATTTCTAGATGATTACCACAAAAGTTTTCTATTCATTCGCATTTAGTTACATTGTAGAAATTCGAAGGTTTAAAGATAGATAAAGCTCAAAATATTTGGAACGTCTACGTTAATGGCAACCAATATATTGTTTGGTATTATATGTAAGCCAATATACTTTAGATTTGATCTCGTATGCATGAACAAGATAACTCCGCCTGTAGCATGAACAAGATATATCTAGAATATTGAGGAAACAGTTTCTAAAACCTGGATCATTGATATTCTTTAAGCAGCTCAACGAACTAGTGATAATATTATCATTTATGGTTTCAAAAAATCTTTATACCAACACAACTTCCAGCGAAATTTCAAATGTTTTGGAAGTCACTAATTTACATACAGATAATAAATTGTACCAAATCCCAACTTCCAATTAATGCATGATCAATAATTTTATAAACATGTCTAATGCAAAATGAATAAAGATGAGCTTATGTAAAAAGGGTCGGAGAGTGAACCAAACAAAGAAAATGTCATCACATTATTGACAGGAAATCGTCATGTATCATAACAAGTATGATAGAAGTGTGTATTCATATAAGTCAAAATACATTTGTCTATATATTTATGATTATGAACTATTCAAGCTTAAAGGACTAGTTATCAGCTGATAAATTTAATGTTCACTAAAGCATTACAGGATTTGTAAACTAAATTGATTTAAATAATAAACAGTCTTTATTATTCTGTATTAGTGATAACAATTTAGTTTGAAACTATGCAGTAAACTATCATCTTGAAAACTGACATTAGAATCAAGAGTATTCTCCATTTAAATTAAGCTGTTTTATTCAAATGAGGAAAGTAGGTCTTTTGAGAGATTATTGATTAATTCTCATAGATTGACTGTAGCAAATATAAATTAAAATATTTTAGCAGTTTATATTAGTCTGTAAATGTGACGTACATGTAATACATTAAAACACAATCCAGTAATTTCAAAGGGCGTAGTTTTAAGAAAATGAAATATTCATTTTAAAGTTAAGCAACACATCAATATTTCGACTATAAATTCACTGAGTGAAGTCTAAAGTTACACAAGATGAAAGATAATTTGGATCTCTAACTGAAGTCAATCCAGAGAACAAGATGTAATAATATAACTTGGATGATGGTTTTAATCCGGAACTGACATCAACTATTATGTTACTGAATAAGTAAGTAAATTCACTTTAATAATTCGGATTTCACCTCAGAACTACAAAATTTGAACATCTTTGGTAAGATAGTACAAGAACTAAACATTCCTTTTTTGATCCGTTCATGTTTATAATTGTTCTCCTCTTTCAACATCATTATGTACTGAAAAATGTAGTCAAACATAATTCATACCTAACTAAAAGTGTAGATAAGAAGTTGTATGTGTTTTTTTCATTTCAAAAAAGTATTTTGACCTATTTTTAGCTATAAAAATTGTTACAATAGAAATTATAGTACATTATAAACTATTCACATTTAGTTTCAAAAAAGTCAATACTGAATTGAATATTATTGATTTGATTTGGTTCATTGATTGGTTGATCTAACTTTATACAACTCATCAAATGTATGTACAAAATGAAAGAAAGAATGGAAGTGTTTACTTACTGTGCTCAGGTGCTTAGATAGTGTAAACAGTGCGTGCTTACGTATGTACACATAATATATATATTTATAGGTAGTAGAAACAATGCAATGATTAGGTGACGAACGTTTAAGAACTTATTGAGCAGTTATTACTGTAAATTGTTCAAGTCAACTTTTGTTAAATAGACGCATTTTTCACCATGAATTATAGAAACGCTATGTGTTTTTACCATTTCTGTTGATTAATATTTTAGTTTTGAAAGGTGGTAGTAAATGGTCAATTATACTAATTAGGTTAAACCTACCTAAAAGTCTAATACTTTAATAGAAATGTGTTTACTTCTTGACCGTTGAATTCAGTCGATAAGATAATTGAATTTAATATTATTCAGTTTAGAAGTATAAGTTTGTGTACTCACTTATGATATGCACACTTTTATTAGGGTTACCGAGTTTACTTGTCAAGAGTTGGTGAGTTCGAGTTTAAGCGTGATACCTACTGGTGATAAAATCCTCAATGTTTTAGAGGGAAACCATGAATGTTGGTAAACATCATTTGAGTATGTATACATATATGTATCACGATTGAGATTATTGATCACGAGAGTACCAAGTATCTTTTGTAAACAAAATACCTTTCACAGATATGTTTATGGTGACTACCAAATTTACCATTTATCTTATGTGTTAAGCTGATTTTAACATTTTTTGTTGAGATGTTAGTAATGATAAATTTTCAGAAATTCATTCCCAAATGATACATTTCGGTATAAATATATTTTAGCTATGCTTAGAGATGTTTATCTTTCTGTATTCACATTCCTTAGTTTATCCATTATTTTCCACAAATTTTTCCATATTTTACTGCCTTTGAATTTAGGTGTTACTAAATATCCCATTTTTACTCATAGTTTATAGATGGAAAAAACATATCTTTCGTTAAAGAGCTTTCATTGTCAGTCATTTACTAACTGAAGTAAACATTGATTCTGTGGTCCAAAAAGATAATGAAAGCGTTTCAGTTACAGCAGTCAACTTAGGGAAAAGGACATCAGAATCTATCAGGACGAAAAATATTCTTCATTATTTTCATGTTTAATTAAATCATTTAAAAATACGCTGTATATTCATTTGTTTAACAAATAACAACGTTCGAAATCTTACTTGGTCAACTTCTAGTTCGATTATCGGATGATCTTAATCTCATGTTTGTGTTATTTCTAGTTGTCCCTGATTTTCTTAATTATTAAATGTAAGTGCATTCCACGTGCTTGACTAACCTTTTTCCTATTATTTTCTCTTCTGAATTCTTATACACTATTTCTCTTACCCTTTTGACACAGGTGTTTTCGATTTAGACGCAAACCTACTAGAAGCTGAACGTTACAGATGATCCTTTGTTTTATAAGTAACGTTGGCATAGGATAGTACAAACAGGAAGGCAAAATTAACCTCTCTAAACTGACGGACAATAGCAAATCTTCTTTTAACTAATTTCAGAATGCAAAACTCTCAAATGCATATAACAAAATAGACTGACTACAATTGAATTGCAACTGCTTTTGGTAAAT